GGCCGCACTCCTCCGGGGTCAGCAGTTCGGCCAGACGGACGGCTGCGTGAGGGCCCATAGCGTCCACGGCCCCTGCCGGAGCCCACGCCCAAACCCAGAGCGCCAGGACGAAGGCGCCCGCCGGAGTCCGCGCCTCCATCCCTAGCGGGAACCAGGGACCGAGGACTGTGTAGGGACGGGGACGGGCTCCGAGCGCCCCCGGTGAGCCGTGGGGGAGGGGTTCCGAACGCCTACGGATTGTGGGAGGGAGGAGGCTCCGAACACCCGGGAAGCCAAGTGGAGGAGGGCATTGGGGACGAGGGGGCTGCCAACACCCAGCGACGGAGACAGGGACTCAGACATGGCACTTGTTGGAGGGTCTCACGAACTGGGATAAGAGGGCTTGCAACCCAGGAAGGGGGTTCTCAGCCCCCCAGGAGGCTAGGATTCTGGGCCTTTACATTGTAGCTCCTGCCCTAGGCCTCCTAGTACCCACTAATACCTCAAACTGAACAAGTTACCAACATCTCTTCTAATTCATGTACTCCCTAACCCCTCCCCTCTTTACCAGACTCCCTAGACCCCTTGCTCTCCATTAACCTCGATATTCAATCAATTCCTACATTCTCTTTTTTTCTTTTCTTTTTGTGCAGATGGGGGTCTTGCTATGTTGCCCAGGATGGTCTCCAACTCCAGCCTCCGCCTCTGCCACCACCTCCCAAAGTGCTGGGATTACAGGAATGAGCCACCGTGCCTGGCCTCAATTCCTAAATTCTCTTTTTGTCTACCAAATACTAACGTTTAGTATTTATTAAATGAATCCATCATCCCATTCCGCCACTCCGGTGCGAGTCCAAACCCTCCTCCTCTCTTGCTAGTCCTCCAGCCCCCATCACTGCCCCCACACACTGGGGCCCTGCCTACCTGTACTTACTCCATTTCTCCCAAGGAAGCTTGGCTCTGGCTCTCCTGATCGCGGCCTGCACTCCTCCTGCTGTCAGGCGCCTTTGGGAAGCCCTCCCTGACTCTGAGTCACACCCCTTAGTGGTGTCCCCATTAGGGACTCCTCCTGTCTGCCCCACAGCACACTGCAGCTGGGCCTGTGTACTGTCTCCTCCACTAGACTGCAAGGTCCATACATTGTCCCCATGGCAACTAGAGCATAATAAAGTGTTCAGTAAAGATTTGTTGAGTCAATGTGTGTATTTTTTGGTTTTTTAAGAGACAGGGTCTCCCTCTGTTGCCCAGGCTGGTCTCAAACTCCTGGGCTCAAGGGATCCTCCTGCTTCAGCCTCCCAATGTACAAGGATTACAGGCATGAGCCACCATGCAGGGCCATTGTGTGAATTCTTAACTTGCAAATCAGTGCTGTCTTCAGCCCCCTAAATTCCCACAAAGGCTTCATCATGGAGCCCCAGCTCCTAACAGGGCAAGGAAGGCCCTCCATGGTGAGGTCCCTGCTGACTCCTCCAGCCTCACTCCTCTGATTCCTGCCCTCACTATCTTGTAACACATCAAGGCTCGTGGCACAGCACATAAGATACAGTTTCCAGCCTCCATACTTTGCCCAACTATCCCCCTCCCCTCCCATGTAGGAAGTTTTCCTGATACCCCACCAAGACCATCACAAGTCAGGATCTTTTCTGGACGTTCTTTCTGTTTGTGTTTTGTTTTGTTTTGAATCAGAGTCTCCCTCTGTCACCCAAGCTGGAGTGCAGCGGCATGATCTTGGCGCACTGCAACCTCAGCCTCCCAGGTTCAAGTAATTCTTGTGCTTCAACCTCCCAAGTAGCTTGGACTACAGGCACACACCACCACGCCCAGCTAATTTTTGTATTTTTAGTAGAGACTGGGTTTCACCATGTTGGCCAGGCTGGTCTCGAACTCCTGACCTCAAGTGATCCATCCACCCTGGCCTCCCAAAGTACTGTGATTACAGACATAAGCCACCATGCCCCCAGCCATTTTTTGGCATTCTTAAGACAACCTGTGCATCCTCCACCAGGGCACTCATCTGGAAATTAGAGGACTTATTCAACAAACATCTATTCAATGTCTTCTGTGTACCAGATAATTGCACTAGGCGTATGAATATAAAGGCCAATTTGATGTAGTCCCTCACCCCCAGTAGCTTTATCCAGTTGCATTTTTAAATGATCAATTTCTGAGCTTTTCCCACCTAGACATGGGCTCCAAGAATAGCAGCTGTGCTTGACCCCTTCTGTATCCTCAGTGCCAGGCCCAATGTTGCACACAGTAAGGTGCAAAATAGAGGAGTGGGGCCAGGTGGGTCTGGACCTCCAAGGGCTGAGAGGTTTGTGGTAATGGACTCTGGGGCAGTGTCTTAGAGCCCCCACCTCCAGGCACACTCACATTCGTGTCCTCTTTGCTTTGCAGGGTCTCCCTGGTGCTCACTCTGCCTCCTGTATGTGTGCAGTGAGCCACAGCAGGGAGCCCGGGTGCACCACTCCCCTGTGCTCTTGCGCATGCTCAACAGTCTTGCCTAGAGTATTCAAGGACCTAGGAGTTGTGGGTCCAAATCCCTCATGGGCATCTCTACAGAGCTTTTTCAGCAAGTGTTTCTTCCTAGGTTGTTTAGTCTCCCAGTTTCTGATGAGCTGTCACAGATAGAGTTAGGGGACTGATGGATGGGGGGATGGTAGACAAAGGACACCACGTGACCTGAAACACTAGAACTCGGCCGTCTCCACACCCCGCCCTCCGCCCACTTTATCTCCACTGAGAACGGAATACAAGTATAACCCTAGCTGTTTTCAATGAAGGCTGCTGCAGGTTCTGGATGGCCCCTCCCTCTCTTCAGCACCCCCCCTCCTCCATGCATTCATTCGTTCACTCATTCAACAAACATGTGAGCCCTTCCTTGCCCCCCTATTTTGTGGCTCTGCGGATACGATGAGCCTGTCCCAGAGTTGTGTGTCAGAGCTCAGAATGGCAGGAAGGCCCCTTACCCATGGCTTCTCCCCCATAGCCTCAGTGCCCGTTCCCGTAGGTACTCGCTGTATCACAGTGAGTCACAGGAGTCCTTGCTCCTTGTTACTAAGGGACTAGGAACACCCCGCCCAGAGCACCGGCAGACCTGGGTGTCCAGACATCTCCCAGAGGGATCCCACTGCTCCCAAGAAATCTTCTGCAAACCACATGTCATCGCTTTAATACTGTGTAATACTTTCTTTTAAAATACAGTCTCTTCTGAGGTAGACAGACCACAACTGCAGAGCATCGTCAGACAGGAGCTAAATACGTCCATGTACAACACGCAGCAAAATGAGGTAGAAATGGTTACAGCGGGAGGAGAGGATCCCAGCCCCAGTCTGGGTAGAGGAAGGGGAGAGGCCAGCTCGGAAGTCACCCTCCCCACTCCCTGCCCCTGGATTCTTTGGTATGCCTCCCCCCCAACATTACCAGAGCTGGACCGGCCCTTCCCCTACCCACCCCAGAGCCCTTGAGGTAGGTGCCACTAGGCTGGGGGCAGTCTCCTTGTGCAAAGCTCCCCAAGCCTGGGGAACAGGAGCCTAGTAGAGGAAGCAGTGGGGACTCCACCTCTCAGAGCTCCCTGCCTCTTGAAGGGAAGGCTGGGATCCCACCCCAACTTCCCTGACACCCTCCATCCCCCCACCCCCCTATACATACACACCTGAGAGAGAACCCCTCACTCCATGCTCCCTCCGAGGGTCTTTTGCAGCCTGCAGCTGTGACCCTGCAGCCCACTGCTTCTGAGGCACCAAAGCCCTGCGGGCGGCTGGCTCCAAAGAGGGGGTCAGAAAGCGACAGGGGGTCGGGAGGAAGCAGAGCAGCCTTCCGGTCAGCACTCCTAGGCCAGCACAGGCCCTGGGTGCCAGGGCCCCTGAAACGTCCCCCACAGACACCCTTCCAGCCAGGAGGGGAGGCAGTAGACTCTAGGAAATGCACGGGCAGGCAGGGAACTGGAAGGGAGACTGAGGTGGGAGAGAGAAAAAGTGGTGGGGCGGGGCGTGCCCCCTGCTTTGGACAAAGATCAGAGTTATGAAATGGGCTGGGGGTGGTGGGAGCAAACTGCTAAAGCCTCATCAAGGTAAAACTGGTGGGAAGGAGAGAAATACGGTTCTCGGTAGGGTTCCAAACCTAGTGGAAAGTTCGGGCAGGACTGAGACTAAGCCCCCAAGGTCAGAGAAAACACCCCTGCCCATCTCCCTCACCCTCTCCCAGCCCTGGAGCTCCAGACCTAGGACTCCGGGGGAAGGGGGGAGACACATTTTCTCACAGATCCCCCCAAGTAAGGGATGCTCACTCCTTCTCAGAGCCTCCAGCAGAGGAGGCTGAGGTCCAGTAGCTGATTTTGTGGCCAGACTGTCTACCCAGATGGAATCCTCCCCAGTCACCGGGGACTTCTGCCAAGGCAGGGCCAGGGGACGTGACCTTTCTGGAGACTTTCTGCTTAGGTCACCTTCCCATTTGGGCCCTCCCAGCCTACTTTCTGGGTCTCGGGAACGAATTGGGCAAGGGCAGCCTAACTCTGGATAGCCCTTCACAGAAAACACTCAGCGGAGGGGTTGGGTGGGGCAGGGGGTGGGGAGCGGCAGGAGAGAAATAAAGCCTCCCCTCTCTCAAACCCCACATTCATGCCTAGGCCTCAGACCCTGGGGAGGAAGCCCTTAGGAATACATTCTGCTTCTGACCAGGATTAGCTGGGGTTTCACTGAGGCCTCTGGGTCTTCCTCTCCCCTTCCCCATAAGTCTCATTTTTTGAGTGTCTGGGAGAATGTGCTCCCCTGGATGGAGTGGGAGGGTTGGGGTGGGGGAGAACAGGTGTGAGGGGCACACAGGAGAGCAGCCAAAGTCTAACATTCTTTCTGAGGTCAGTTTCTTCCTGAGTTGTCAAAAGAAAAAGAAAAACAGCAAATTCTACACATTTTACAAAAATAAGCCTAAAATATGAAACAAGCTACATTTCTGGGATCTCCCCTCAAAAACAAACAAAAACTCCCCTTCTTTAGGGTTTTTTTCCTTGATCCCCCTAGACCCTAGGTTTCAGATGGGTACAGGGGTAACCCTCCTCCCCTCCTCCTCAGCCCATGGGCCTCCAGAGCTCCTGCAAAGAGCCACTGCAGTCCAAGTAAGAACAGAAGGCATGGAGAGGCATTAAAGCTCAGGGACAAAAAGGCGAGGGACGCTGGAAAGCCAGGGATGGAGACAGAAGCACAGAGGGTGAGGGAGGGAGAGCTGGGGAGGGAGGGGCAGGAGAGAAACAGGGCCAGCATTGCGGGGAGGGCTGTCAGCGACAAAGCAAAAGGGAGAGAAAACCAAGAGAATGCAGAGAATGGGATGGAGATAGTGAGGGAGAAGGAGGGTGCCATTCAGATAGCGAGGAGACAAAAGCGTTGTGGCAAGAGAGCAGGAGTTCCTAAGGCCCCGGGTGCCAGCCCATGCCGGATCTGCCCGGTCCGCCGGGCGGAGATGGCGAGCTTCCAGTCCACAATAAATAGAAAAAACCTGAGTACACGGCGCATATGGCATCTATCTGCCTGGCAGAAGCATTTTCCTTACCACGAAAAAAAAAAAATCCACCAGCAGACCCCCTCCTGACCTCCATCCCACATTCACCACTCTGGCCCCTGCCAGCCGGGTTTAGTCAGCGACATCCCTCCCACGCGGAGGCGGCGGGGACGGAGGGACGGCGGCTCCCGCGGCCTCCACCGCGCGCCGTCAGTGTCCGGAGCCGTACATTTTGTCCCACTCCACGAACGAGTCCAGTTCCTTGGCGGAGGCCCTAGGGCCCATTTTGGACAGCGCTGCCTCCAAGTCCTTGTAGGAGAGGGGGCGCTGCAGCCCCGGGAGGCCCGCCCCGGCCGCCGCCTGCTGGCA